GCTGTAAGTAAAAAACTGTTACAAGAGACAATATACTGATGAAAGGGCCAATCCATCTAGAAGATCTAACAATTATAAACGTCTACCTGACAACAGAGCCCCTAAATATACAAGCATACCTCATTTTATTGCACTTCACAGATACTGCATTTTTTACAAATTAAAGGTTTCTGCAACCCTGTGTCATGCAAGTCTTATCAGCACCATTTTTCCAATAGCATGTGCTCATTTCATGTCTCTGTGTCACATTTTGATAATTCTCACAATATTGCAAACTTTTTCATTATAATATCTGTTATGGCTATATGTGATCTTCGATGTTACTACAATAATTGTTTTGGGGTGTCAGCTTTATAGCAGAATGGCACCTGTATGACAGCAAACTTCATCAACAAATATGTGTGTTCTGACTGTTCCACTTACCAGTTGTTCTTCGACCTCTCTCTCTCTCTCTCAACCCTTGGGCCTCCCTATGTCTTGGGACATAACAGTATCAAAGTTAGAATAATTAACCCTACAATGGCCTCTAAGTGTTTGAGTGAAATGAAGAGTACAGGTTTCTCAACTTAAAAGCTAGAATGATTAAGTTTAGTTAGGAAGACATGTTGGAAGCCAAGACAGGCTGAAAGCTAGCCCTCTTGTGCCAATTAGCCAAGTGGTAAATGCAAAGTAAAAGTTCTTGAAAGAAATTCAAAAATCCTAGGGCCCTTGTGAATTAGGCTAAATTGACTCTGCTTGTGTGCTATAAATTGAACAAAAAAAAAGCCTAGATGACGGCACACTTGTTTACAGCATGGTTTACTGAATATTTTAAGCCCATTGTTGAAACCTACTGCTCAGAAAAACAGATTCCTTTCAAAATATTACTGCTCATTGACAATGTACCTGGTCACTCAACAGCTCTGATGAAGATGGACAAGGAGGTGAATGTTTTCATGCTTGTTAACAAAACATCCATTCTGTAGCCCATGGATCAAGGAGTAATTTAGACTTACAAGCCTTCTTATTTAAGAAATACCCTTCATAAGGCTATAGCTGCCATAGATCACGATTCTTCTGATGGATCTGGGCAAAGCAAATTAAAAACCTGGAAAAAATTCACCATCTTAGATGCCATTAAGAATATTCATGATTCATGAAAGGAGGTCAAACTACTGACATTAAGAGGAGTTTGAAAGAAGTTGATTCTATGGATGACTTCGAGTTCAAGACTTCAGTGGTGGAAATAACTGCAGATGCTGTGAAAACAGCAAGAGAACTAGAATTACAAAGTGGAGCCTGAAGGGATGACTGTTGCAAGCTCATGATAAAATCTGAACAAATAAGGAGTTAATTCTTATGGATGAGCAAAGAAAGTAGTTTCTTAAGATGGAATCTACTCCATCTGAAGATGCCATGAACATTGCTGAAATGACAACGAAGGATTTAAAACATTATATAAATTTAGTTGATAAAGTAGTGGCAGGGTCTGAGAGGACTGACTCCAGATTTGAAAGAAGTTCTACTGTGGGTACAAATGCTATCAAATGGTATCACATCCCACAGAGAAATCTTTCATGAAGGGAAGAGTCAATTGATGTGTAAAATTCATTGCTGTCTTATAAGAAACTGCTTAGATGAGTTGCACAACTTTATGAATGTGCTGCCAGTGAATCATACAGTTCAAAATGATTAAAATGGTAAATCTTATGTGTACTTTGCCACTGCCACAACAAAAAATAAGCATCCATATGTGTGGTAGTTAGCCTTCAAGAGGGCCCCTGTGGCCAGGTGCGGTGGCTTAGGCCTGTAATCCCAACACCTTGGGAGGCTGAGGTGGGTGGATCACTTGAGCCAGTAGTTCGAGACCAGCCTGGCCAACATGGCAAAACTCCATCTCTACTAAAAACACAAAAGTTAGCCAGGCATGGTGGTGCGTGCCTGTAGTCCCAGCTATGAGGGAGTCTGAAGCACAAGAATCGCTGGAACCCAGGAGGTGGAGGTTTCAGTGAGCTGAGATCACATTGCACTCCAGCCTGGGTGACAGAGCAAAAAAAAAGATGGCCCCCAGTGATCCGGCCTTGTGCAGGGTATTCATGCTTCCTTGTGCAGTCCTCTCCCACAGTGTACTAGGTCGACCTGCATGACCAGTAACTAACAGCTCAAGTAATAGTAAATCACTTCCAAGATTAGGTTATAAAAAAGACTACAACTTCTGTCTTGGGTATTCATTCATTCATTCATTCATTCATTCTCTATGCCTTTCAGATCATTCATCCTGCGAGAAGTAGGCTGACACGTTACAAGAAGTTTATGGAAAGGCCCACGTTGTAAGAACTAAAGTCTCTAACAACCAGCCAGGGCTGTAGGAACCATCCACTGTAGGAAAGTGGATTTCCTACAGTCCCAGGTGAGCCTTGAGAGATTAACTGCAGCTCCAGATGACATCTTGACTACAACCCTGTGAGAGCCCTATGCTAGCACTATCCAGCTAAGCTGCTATCAGATTAATGACCCTCAGAAACAGTAAGAGATAACACATTTATTGTTTTAAGCAGCTCAAACTTGGGATAATTTGTTAGGCAGCAATAGATAACTAATACAACATGAGAGCAATATATTTTCAAAGGAATAAATTTAGGCCTATCTAAGGTAGAAATAAAATTCCTAGTGAGATTTATTTTCTTTTTTCTTTTTTTGAGACAGGGTCTCACTCTGTCACCCAGGTTGGAGTGCAGTGGCGCGATCTCGGCTCACTGCAACCTCCGCCTCCTGGTTCAAATAATTGTCATGTCTCAGCTTCCAGAGTACCTGGGACTACAGGCGCATGCCACCATGCCTGGCTAATTTTTGTATTTTTTGGTAGACATGGAGTTTCACCATGTTGGTCAGGCTGGTCTCGAACTCCCAACCCCAAGTGATCCTCCCACCTTGGTCTCCCAAAGTGCTGGGATTACAGGTATGAGCCACTGTGACCAGCCTTACTTTCAAATAATATATGATTGTAGATAACTACTATAATTTCTTCACTTCAATGTGATTTATACCATCTTCTTGCAGTTTCAAATATATCTAATGATATGATAACATCTGTTAAACTTTTACTTATCACTCATTGAATATTATGTAATATAATAACACTATAAAGTGTTGTTAGGGATATGGAACAACTGTAACTATCATACCTGCTGTTAGAAGTATAAATTGAAATAGCCACTTCAGAAAACTTTTTAGTAGTAGCTAGAAAAGCCAAACATATGCCTACATGTGACCCAAAAATTCTATTTCTAGATATATATCTATGAGAGATGAGTATAAATGTGGTATAAGGATGTTTATAGTAGCTTTATTCATATAGCCAAAATCTGGAAACAAACCAAGTGACAACAGAAGAGAAGAGATAAATTGTCTATAGACACACAATGGAATACTACAAAACAATAAAAAAGAACTTCTGCTACACTCAAAATGTGGATGACTCTCATAGAAATAACACCGATTTAAAGAAGGTAACACAAGAATGCATACTGTATGATTCCATTTACATGACGTTCAAGAAAAGACAAAAATCTATGATGATGTAAGTCAGAATAGTGGTTATACCTGGTAGAAATGGTATAATGACTAAAAAGGGGCATGGGAAACATTTTGGGGTACTGGAAATGTTATACAGGGTATCCATAAGGCTGGGGAACAGGATAAATATGTGTTAGTTACATTTTCAAATAATATGCTCAGTATCTTTTTCTTCAACCTCAATATATTTTGCAAGTAAAACACTTCTAAATTTAAAGCAATGGCCCCAACTGTGAATATTTTTTAAAATACAATAAACACACTGTTTTCTTTATGCTTCCAGGTTTTTTGGACACTCTGAATTGTATTTATTGTATACGTGAAAACATAATAGGCACAGTATTTAAAAAATATAACCAATACACTGTTTAAAAATAAGTTTATCCTATATTTTCCAACTACACAGATACTCTATTTCTAGATCATGGTGGCAGTTACATGTGTGTAGGTATATGCATGTATATAAATTCATATTGTTACATTTCCATCATAAACTGTACATTATATGTTATACTGTAATATATGTGCACACACACACAAAAATGAACAAAATATTTCTTAACATTTAATATGAAAAGTTATCTTTTATGAATAGGGTAAGGTAAAATATTATTCTTCATTGTTATTACATTGTTTACATTACAAACTTTACAAAATAATCCATCACTTAAGGGATTCTGGGTTGTTTTTTTTTTTTTTTTTTGAGACAGGGTCTCGATCTGTCACCCAGGCTGGAGTGCAGTGATGTGATCACTGCTCACTGCAGCCTCAAGCTCCTGGGCTCAAGCGTCTCACTCTGTCACCCAGGCCAGAGTGCAGTGGCACAATCATAGCTCACTGCAGTCTCAAACTCCTGGCTTAGCCTCCCGAAGTGATGGGATTACAGGCGTGAGCCACTATACCCAGCCTACACTTTATTTTTTAATTAACAGCACTGATAACTATATTCACTGATTTGTGAAGCCTCTCATTAGGATTCTTAGAGACTAAGCGCTATCAATGACCAATACAAAGAATTCCTAAAATATCTCATGCTACCTTAAAAAGAAAGTTGTCTATAAACTCACATTGCTGAACAATAGCTATTTTCTATCGGTTGTACAAGCAATGACAATGTAAAAAGTGCTGAGTAGTTTGGGTTTGTGTTTAAAATGAAATTAGGTCCTAGGCTGAATAATTATAAACATATTTTAACACATGAATGTCTAGTGAGATATTCTAAAGTTGTGCTGGACATATGAGACATCTAGTACGCCTGGCCCCTAACTACAAAGTGCCAGCTATACTTTCTCATTAATACGGCAACCAAAAACTTTAACTTTTTCAAAGGGTCCACTAGAGGGCAGTACTAACTCCAGTGAGAACCCTGGCATTCTTACTTACCTTCCAGAACTCCCTTGGGAACAGGAACCGCATTCTTTTAATCTTAGAATCCCTAATGTTGAACAGAGTGCCTGACGTGTACAGTAGGTGTTCAATAGTCGTGACGGACCAAGGCTATGAGAGAGGGTGCCATGGAGGCACAAAGGAGGGGAAGATCAATCTAACAAGGGAACTGAAGGGAAAGGGAAATCTTCATAGGTGATGTAAGAAAATTGCCTTAATAGAGGATTTGGTGCTAGGTGAGCTGGGGGTCTGTTGGAGTAGGAGGTGGGTGGTAGAGGAAGTGCTACATCAAAGACAAGAGAATAAATCAAGAAAGAGGAGAAAACAGGAAACCAGGAAACACGATTCAAAACATGAGAGAAGGAAGGGAAATTCCCAGGATGATGATGAAAGGAACAGGCAGGATAAAAGTTTTGCACCAGGCCTAGACAGCAGCCAGTCCAGACTGCAATAGGAAGATGGAGGGCTCCCAGAGAAGTATCTCCAAGGAAAAGAAAAAGTTTAAAAATGGATTTGAGAGAAAACCTTAAGTGTTTGCCATAATGAGATGAATTTTACAGTTCTGTCAGACACAACAGAAAACAAAGCAAATAGAAAAATACCTGTAATCCCAGCACTTTGGGAGGCAGAGACAGGTAAATCACCTGAGGTCAGGAGTTTGAGACCAGTCTGGCTAAACCCCGTCTCTACTAAAAATACAAAAAATTAGCCGGGCATGGTAGCAGGCGCCTGTAATCCCAGCTACTAGGGAGGCTGAGGCGGGAGGATGGCTTGAACCTGAGAGGAGGAGGTTGCAGTGAGCTGAGATTACACCACTGCACTCCAGCTGGAGTCACAGAGCAAGACTCTGTCTCAAAGGAAAAAAAAAAATAATAAAGCAATTATTGTTCCAAAAGGGGTAGAAAGCTATTCAAGAAAGAATACACTCATAGTAATAATTATCTGACTCAGGAACAAAATAATAATAATTACCTGGCTCAGATTGAAGAACACTTATACAGTCATAACAATGTAAACATGAAATACTACTGATTTTTTTTACAAGAATGAGAGATTATAAGTGAAGCTACTGAGTATAGATTATTCATTTGAGAAACTTAAGTTATAAAAGGAACAAGGGTACAAGGAAGAAAAACACAGTGGCATGAAAGCTTTCCCTACCTGTTTCATGGACAGCCCATTCCTATAGTAGTATGGGCTGACATACGTTCTTAATCAATCTTACCCAATTTTAGCAACCCTGGGAGGCAAGTGGATTTCATCAGCCTCCTTTTGTAGATAAAGAAACAGAAGCTGAGAAATGTATCTAGACTTGAATAAGAACTCACATCTCCCTCCTAGAATCCAAAGCACACGCTCTTCTACATTCTATAACTTTCTAAAATATTGCTTTGTCAGGAATTATACTGTCCTCATAAGAATGTAAGTTAACTAACGGTAAAGTTAGCTTCAACATAATGAAAATCTCTTGAAATAAAAATAGTTGTGCCTGGTAAAGAATTAAAACATTAAAACTCTAGAACAATTATAGAGTTAAATGTTTTAACTATTAACTTTATGGTACCTTTTTTTCTTTTTAGTTAAATGAATTAAGTCCTTTGCATTTAAAACTAAGTAGCACCAATAATTTTATTAATAAAACCATTTTTTTAAGACAAAAGAAAGAAAACACACACAACTAAAAATGGTCACTAAATATATTAATATATTGTCTGTAAATGCATGAAAAAGCCATTTTCCAACAATATCTGCTTAGGAAATTTCAAAATACATATACTTTTCACTCCTTCACTCAAGATTATTCTAAATGATTTTTTTCACATTTTGCAACTAGTAAGAGCATACAATACTCCTGGTATACAAGTACGTGACTTAAGACTGTCTCACATACAGATGGCTGGTCCATGCCATGCAGGAGATGGGATGGGCTTTCTCGAGGACCATTCTCAATGCCTTCTCTCTAGCACCTCATGACACCACTACTTACCCTTCTCACCACCAACAATGGTGTTAAAGGAGCCAAACTATTCCATATAAAATCCTACTTAAATGCTGTATAGTGGAACTAATATGCATCTGAAATATGATTTTCCTAATTTTTCATCATAAATGTATAGTATTTTAGCTACACTATAGATTAAGGTTTAGTAAGCCTGTAAAGGGTTGCTTAGAAACATATTTATTTATTTATTTATTTATTTGTACATTTTTTTCCCAGTAGGAAATGTATGTCAAATTCCAAAACTCAGACTTATATGAATTTTTAAAACATAACTATTTGTGAGTGGCTACCTGTAAATATTGTGACAGTGGCTTAAGCAAGACAGCATTATTAGGAAAGAAGAGGAACTGCCTCTGAGTCCTCTGCTTGTAGGGTCAGCAAAAGAACTGGAAGTATCATTAAGTTTACCATACAGAAACTTAAAATAGCTCCTTGCCATCGCTACGTGTTTAGTGAAGGACAGGGAAAAAAGGGAGTCTCTTCAGTTAATTTCAAAGAACTTTAAAAAAAGACAATATGGAAGCAATTTTTCATTACAATAGAATTATAAAAGGTTGTAACTGTCAAATCAGACCACATCTTATAGGTAGACAGCTCTTTAGTAGATTGCTATAAGGACATTTTTAAAAAGAGTTCGCTCTTAAAAATGTGGAAGTTAGGCACCCTTGAAAACACTGCCTTCCCTAGTCACTTGCTTTCTAAAACATAGGGAAATGAAAAAGTGGAAATGAAAGATTGAGTAATCAACCTAGTTTTGCTTTCAGGTCACTGTACTGACTAAACTTGGAAACATGAACTTGCAAAAGCCTGCCCAAATTCAGAAATTCAGCAAAAAAAAAAAAAACAAACAAAAAAAACAACTAAGTGAGTACTTCCTTTCTATTTCCAACGTATTTTATGAATACAAACAAGCAAACACGCACAGCATCGGATGTGTGGCTTCTACTGGTTTCTAAAGAGGTAACTAAGCCATTAGAAGCAAGAATTGGAAAGCAGCATCCCTGGTGAAAATGAAACCAAAAACTCAGCAGTGATTTATGATTTTCTGAAATATAACCCTTTGCTACAATTTATAGAGATGTGTTGAACCCATTTGCTCAGTAGATGAAATCCTCTGCAGCACACCCTCCCACCTACACCTCACCACTTCCTTCAGTACCATGTTGCACCTCTCTTAAGGCACACTTTCCAACTCCTGACCCTTGCTTGTATTATCTGGCCTCAGCCAAGTTTTTGACATTGTCTTGCAATGCTCCTTCCCTCTATTACTCACTCCAAAACAGCTTCTGTGGTCTTTTATTTCATGAATATCAAGCTCATTCTTGATTTAAGAACTTTATTCTAGCTCTTCCCTCTGCTTGACAGCTCTTTTTCTTGATCATCACCAGATAAATTCCTTCCTGTTAGTACCTCAGAAAAGTGTTTCCCCATCACCTAAACACACCACCCTAAAGCACTGATGTCACTTATTTATTTTTATACTTATTGCTTTTCTTCTCCCACTAAAACATAAACTATAGAGTAAGAACTTTGTGCTGCTCACTAATATTACATCTTGCACATTGAGAACAGTTCTGTCATGCTGCAGACATTCAATATATACAACTGAATGGACAGATGAGCAACAGTCACTCACAATGTATTTATTGGGCACGCTGCTATATGCTGGCTACGTATAATATAAATATAATATTAAAAAACTCATGGAGCTTTCAGTTTTGTGAGAGAGCATAAACAAGAAAATAAACACAAATACTTACAAGCTATAACAAGTGCTATTAAGGAAATAAACAGGTGTCACCCGGGGGGAGTGTTTTAATGAGGGTGGTTAGGTAAGATCTCTCTGAGAAGCTAACATTTAAATGATAAAAGAAAACTGGGAAGATGTCAAACTTGGGCGAGGGGGCATGCATGTGTGACAGCGAGGCACTTTCAAAGAACTGAAACTCTGGCAGCAAACAGGAAAGTGCCTGAAATAAATCTGGAGAGGTAGGTAGTGGCCAGATCACCTAAGGGAATGCTAAAACTCTACAGTTTAGGATTTTAAGCAGAGTTTAGGATTTTAAGCAGAGGACTGAAAACTGATTTGCATTTTTAAAAGTATCTTAAACTTCTTAGTCAAGTTGATTTCAGAAGTTCATAAAACTCCCTTCCTTTGTCCAAAAGCATCAGTGAATATAGAAAATTAAAATGACATATCCTAAAGCATACACAAAATAAACATTTCAGTGAACCAGAAAAAAGGAAAAGAGAAAAAGCTGCAAGTCAGGCTAAAGCTGCAGGCCTACTGGTAGGCAGAAGTAGCCAGGAATTTGCCTCCTACAAGATAAAAGGTGTTCAAAGTGCTCCAGAGGAACAGGAAACAAAGAGTCAGCTTCACTGTTTGAATATGAGGGCTAAGACAGAGTTTAACCACCCTGAAAAGGAGGCTGAAAAAAACTGCCACTAACCTGCCTGGCGCAGTGGGTCACACCTGTAATCCCAGCACTTAAGGAGATTGAGGTGGGTGGATCATGTAAGGTCAGGAGTTTGAGACTAGATCGGGGTGTCCAATCTTTTGGCTTCCCTAAGTCACACTGGAGAATTGTTTTGGGCCACACATAAAATACACTAACACTAATGACACCTGATGAGCTAAACAAAAAACACATTAAAAAAATCATGTTTTAACAAAGTTTACAGCTGGGCATGGTGGCTCACGCCTATAATCCCAGCACTTTGGGAGACTGAGGTGGATGGATCACCTGAGGTCAGAAGTTTGAGACTAGCCTGGCCAACATGGTGAAACCATGTCTCTACTAAAAGTACAAAAATTAACTAGGCATGATGGTACATGCCTGTAATCTCAGCTACTTGGGAGGCTGAGGCAGAAGAATCGCTTGAACCTGAGAGGTGGAGGTTGCAGTGAGCCGAGATCGCTGCACTGCACTCCAGTCTGGGCAACAGTCTCACTCTGTCTTAAAAGAAAAAAAAAAAGAAAATTAGTTTACAACTTTGTGTTAGACCACATTCAAACTGTCCTAGGCTGCATATGGCCCATGGGTCACAGGTTAGACAAACTTGAATTAGATCTTTTATTTATTTATTTTCCAAGATGACAGATAAGAGGCAGTGTTAGCATGCCTCTCCCACTTGGAAGGACAGAATAGTGGCTAGAGAGTCACACTGTGAATTTTCTTTTTTCTAAGAACGACCACAGGAAGATGGAAAGAACCCACAAACCCGTTGAAAGAAGCAGCAGGCTGGAGCCTACTGCACGAAGACAGGTGAAAAACTAAGTTCCCAGAGTGTAAGCAGGAGAATGAGCATGTCTCGGAGCACACATCCCCACCTGAAACTCTGAAAACCCAGACCATGGGAGAAAGCCTTAACCCTACCTAGAGCTGGAATGGATTTAGTCTATGTGAAACATAAAAGTAGATGCAGCAGCATGAAGTGCCTTGTAGGCATTCCCAGTCTCTAGCATGAACCGAGGGAAGCCATTCCTGACTGTATCTCATGGGGCACTCGGAGAAGCAGTCAATGAGTTCAGGGAGGGGTCATAGGGTGAAAGAAGCTCCCAGGTGAATTTTGTAATATAATCTTGAGTAGGGATGAGCTCTCTTGAACAGAACCCACAGGGTGAGTGTAAAGACATGAGCAGAGGAGCTGGGCATCCGGCCTTATGGGCAGATGGAGAGGGGCATGGTTATGGCCTTGGGCAGGTCTGAGTTCTGTGCGCAGACTGCCTGGATCTAAATCCAGTGAGCGAAGCACTGCGGGAATGAGACCAGCCTCACCAACTGTGAAAGAGCTGGGTGAGGCTCACTGTTGCCCACTACTCTCCACTCCCTTTGGGAACTCTTCTATGCAGCAGATGCAGTTAATTACTCTCTGGAACATTATCCCAGGAGCCTGAGGTCTTAAAGAAGTTCTAAGAGAAGTTCTGAATCTTGAAACAAAAGCTCTGACATGAACCTAAATAGAACCTCCTGAAAGCATACATCTCACGGGGCCTAAAAAACAATAACAGAATGAAAAAAACAAAGTATCTAGGTAACAATTAACATGATGAATAGAACAGTACCTAATATTTCAATATTAACATTGAATGTAAATGGCCTAAATGTTCCACTTAAAAGATACAGAATGACAGAATGGATAAAAAACCACCAACCAAATATCTGCTCTCTTCAAGAGACTCACCTAACATAAAAGGACTCACAAAAATTTAAGGTAAAGGGGTGGAAAAAGACATTCCACACAAATGGAAACCAAAAGTGAGCAGGAATAGTTATTCTTATATCAGACAAAACAGACTTTAAAGCAACAACAGTAAAAAAGACAAAGAAGGATGTTATACAATGATAAAAGGATTAGTCCAACATAAAGGTACTATAATCCTAAATTTATATGCACCTAACACTGGAGCCCCCAGATTTATACAATTACTACTAGATTTAAGAAATGAGACTGACAGCAACACAATAACAGTGTGGGACTTCAATACTCCATTGACAGAACTAGATAGATCAAGACAAAAAGTCAACAAAGAAACAACAAACTTAAACTATATCCTAGAACAAATCAACTTAACAGATGTTTACACAACATTCTTCCCAACAACTGCCGAATATATATTCTCCTCATCAGCACATGGAACAGTCTCCAAGATAGGTGATATAATGAGCCACAAAATAAGTCTCAATAAATTTAAGAAAATCAAAATCATATCAATTATCTTCTCAGACCACAATGGAATAAAGCTGGAAATCAACTCTAAAAGAAACTCTCAAAATTATACAAATACATGGAAATTAAATAATCTACTCTTGTATAATTTTTGGGTTAACAATGAAATCAATATGTAAATTAAAAAATTCTTTGAAATTAATAGTGACACAACATATAAAAACCTCTGAGATACAGTAAAAGCAGTGCTAAGAGGAAAGTTCACAGTGTTAAATGTCTACATCAAAAACTCTGAAATAGCACAGACAATTTAATGTCACACCTCAAAGAAATAGAGAAACAAGAACAAATTAAACCCAAACCCAGTAGAAGAAGTAACAAAGATCAGAGCAGATCTAAATGACACTGAAACAAATAAACAAGCAAAAAATACAAAAGATAGCACCGGGAGCGGCGGCTCACGCCTCTAATCCCAGCACTTTGGGAGGCTGAGGCAGGTGGATCACGAGGTCAGGAGATCGAGACTATCCTGGCTAACACGGTGAAACCCTGTCTCTACTAAAAATACAAAAAAAATTAGCCGGCTGTGGTGGCGGGTGCCTGTAGTCCCAGCTACTTGGGAGGCTGAGGCAGGAGAATGGCGTGAACCCAGGAGGCAGAGCTTGCAGTGAGCCAAGACTGTGCCACTGCACTCCAGCCTGGGCAACAGAGCGAGACCCTATCTCAAAAAAAGAAAAAAAATACAAAAGATAAATGAAAACTGATTATTTGAAAAGATAAACAAAATTGATAGACCATTAGCAAGATTAACCAAGAAGAGAGAAGATACAAATAAGCTCAGTTTACGGTGGCTCACGCCCAGAATCCCAGCACTTTCGGAGGCCAAGGCAGGCGGTTCACTTGAGGTCAAGAGTTCGTGACTAGCCTGGCCAACATGGTGAAACCCTGTCTCTACTAAAATACAAAAATCAGCCAGGCGTGGTGGCAGGCGCCTGTAATCCCAGCTACTTGGGAGGCTGAGGAAGGAGAATCGCTTGAACTCGGGAGGCAGAGATTGCAGTGAACCGAGATCACACCACTGCACTCCAGCCTGGGTGACACAGGAAGACTCTGTCTCAAAAAAAAAAAAAAAAAAAAAAAAAAAGAAAGAAAGAATAAAAAGAAACTGGAGATATTATAACTGATGCCACAGA